TTTTTCCCCATCTCAGCCTCCCATGTATCCTAGCATGACAGGCACACATCGCGGCACCCAGCTATTGGTTGAGATAGGGTCTTGTGAACTATTTACCTGGGCTGGCCTTAAAACACAATTCTCCCAATCTCAGCCTCCTAAGTAGTTAGGGTTGCAGGCGTGAGCCACCAGCGCCTGACAAAGGTTGTCTCTTCCATTCACTTTTGAGCTGGATGTGTGCATGTATTATTATTTAATGGTTGTCCTAGAGATTACAGTTAAGATCTTTGATTTATTATAATATACACTCAGTTAGCAATCTCACGAATTCCTGGATAAGGCAAGAACCTTACAACTGTTCAATTTCATTTATCCCTCACCTGATTTTTGTGATATCGTTTTCATATATTTTACTCCCACCGAGGTTAAAAGCCTTACAGGACATTGATAGATAATTTAAGACAGTTTTATTTTGCACATTCCCACACACTTACCATTGCAGTCTTTTCCGTGTTTGCTTTGTGTATCTCCAGGCTCTGTTGTGTGGTGCGTGGAAGCTCAGCTTTGCTCATCCTGGGTTGTGTGCTTCCGTGTGGGGTTATTGTACGGCAGCTGAGAAGCTTCCTTTAGTCTTTCTAGTGGTTTGGTGATTATCCAGCTATCTGGAAGCAACTCAGTTATTTCACTAGGAATAACACTTAGATTGGCTGGCTTTTTCCTCTCAGCACCATAAAAGGGTCCCTCCCTGGTGTTCTGGTATCTGCCATGCAGGTAGAAAAGCCAGCTGCCATTTCTGTCATTGCTCAGAAGCACCGTGTCCTTTTTCTTTTGCGGCTTTGAGGTTTTCTCTTGAGCATTGGTCCTGGATGCGCTCCTGTGCACGCCTTTGTGTGGTCTTCAACGCACTGACCTGCCATGGCTTTGCTGGCCTTCTTGAGTGATTTTCACTCGTTTGGGGAAAATGTTATGACATCGAATCTTCCTTTCTTTAAGACAGTGGAAGAGATGATTTATTGTACGAGTGTTATACTCAGCCACAGCTGAGGACAGAACTATGCCAGAATGTCACAGAGCCAGTGCAAAAGTCCAAAGGGACTGTTTGGTGTGAGCAGTGGGCCTCTTAGAGGTGGGCAGTGATTGGGTGGTGATGGAGGTTCTAGATCCGTTGAGAGAGAGGTTCTAGACAAAAGCATGCATCCAGCACCTTGGCCAGCTTCCCTGGGCTTGGGCACTCCATGTTCTTCCCCTGTGGCCTCCCTGGGGGCATAGGTGGTGGCTCACTTGGACCTCTGTCTCACCTTTTCTCTGTGCTCCAACCTTCTTTCTCCACTCCTCAGCTTCCAGGGGACATGGGACCCTGGATTTAGGTCAGAGAGTGCTGCCATCTGTCCAGTAGAATATCTTGCCTCTTTCTCTGGGAGTCCAGAATATGTTTTACAGAGTTTCACCTGTCTCTTGTTCTCTGCTCTGTTTTTATTGTCTGTGGTTTTTCTTTCTGTGCTTACAAGGAGGATCTTTTTTACTGACATGTTTTTGTGTTCTATAAGCTTGTTTCCTGTTGTTGAACCCATCCAGGTCAGGCATGGTGGCTCACACTTGCAATCCCTGCTACACCATGGATGGTTTAGCTGATACCTTTCCAGCTAGCACTTGGCTTTTCCTCTTACCTGGACAGGACAGGAGCTGAGCACTCAGTCCAGCAGAGCGTGGGCTGGGCTCAGGCTCACTGCACTTTGGAGAGTCACCCTCAGGAGTTAGGAGCTTCTCTACCCTGAAAGGATGTGGGGGATCTTTCTTTCCTTAGATATTCTAAGTTTAGCTCTTTAGTTTTCTGTTCAGGAGCTTCAAGTTGGAATAGTCTCCAGGGGCAGACCAGCCTGTGCCTGAGCAAGGCCTCTCTCAGGGACCTTGTGTTCTGAGCACCTCAAGGCACCAGTGTAACCCCAGATCTGGCCCTTAGCCTCTCTCACAGCCTGCATTCCACACCAGTCCTGTGGTGGCCAAGAGCTCTGCTTCCTTTCTTTCTTTTCCTCCACAGGGTCCCTTTTCTGGCTGAGCCTAAGGCTTGGCTCGCACCCAGAGTTTTTATTCCCTAGGAAAGCACCATGGTGCTGGGCACTCCTCTCACCTCAGAGGCTGTCCTGCTGCAGACTTCTCCCTTTTGGTTCTCATTACTCCACAGTTCTATGATGTCTTCTTTATTTTTCTAGAGGTTCTAGGGATGGAACCCAGGGCCTTGGGCATGCTAGGCAATTGCTTTACCATTAAACTATCTCCCCAGCCCTCTGTTATCTTTTTTATAGATAAAGTTTTCTAATTTTTAAACATTGTGTCAAATACATGTACCATAAACATTACAAATGTCTTAAACATACGAGTTTTGTAATTAATTTGGCCTTTCTGGCTGCTACAGTGGGATTGTTATTTTTTTTGTCATTATTAGATCCCTTTTGGGATGCCAGGTTCACATTCTTCTGGCCTTCACTCATTGTCACAAGCTGTCCTATTTCAGAGCTTGAGAGTGAGACTCAAAACCGATCTCAGCATCTCCATCCTGGCTGTGATCTCTCTAAGCAGAACAACAGGGCTTTAGTGTGGCTAGGGGCTGAGTGGCTTAAATGTCCCCATCAGGATCATGGAACCTGAAAACTAGCAGCAATCCACTTTAAATATGGAGTCAGGCCATTCCACGAAACCTCTCTGTTTCAGTTTCAGCTCCGTGGCCCAGAGCTGCTGTGAGCCCTCACTGAGGCAGCACAAATAAAGTGCTTAGCACAGGGACAGGTCCCTGAAGACCCACGCAGGAAACACTTGGGCACAGGCTCATGTTGGTCTGGCTACTGTGGTGAAGACATAGGGATCACAGTCACATTAGCTTGGCTCTGAACTGGGAGTGTGGGGGTGTGAGGGGACGAGGAGACATGTGCCAGGGCTTACCTGGCCTGCATCGTGACAAATCCCATTGTACCTGCGGTTTATCATTCACTCAGCATTTCCTATGAGCAGGTGTTCTTAGTAGCCACTTTTACAGGTGTGGATGCTGAGGTTCTGAGAAGGAAGGTGACCTGAATCAAAAACACAAACAGTGTTTGGGAGATAAGCAGCACCTGTGCATCAGTGACAACCACTCTGGGAGCGGCCCAGACAGGTGGGCCACTAGCAGGTCCTAAATTGAAGCTGATGCACCTAGGGGACAGTGGAAGCAATGAAGGGTGGAGCTGGCATTTCACTAAGATCAGCCTTATAGTGCTGGGCAGAAGGGGAGGAGGACACAGATGGCAAGAGCTGGGGACTGAGGCTTGCATGAAGAGCAGTAGGACGGGAAGGCTCTGAGGGGACAGAGTCCTCGGCTCTGTGCCCAAGGTGGGAACTGCCCCAGCCCAGTCCCTCTCCCCCCGATGGACCCAGTCTGTATGCAACAAGCCTAGAAACTTGTGGGACAGTTTACCTCTACTCACCACTGACCGTGTCCCTTCTCCCTTAGTCACCTCCAAGCTGGGCCTTCTCAGAGTCGGATCTGTGGCCTTGACCTGCTCCAGTGCCCACCCATTGGACACTTATTTTCCCCTGGACAGTGGTGTCTCCATTGGCACCTGTTCCCTGTACATGTTATGAGCCCCTAGGCCTGCTGCACCTGTTGCAGGTGTGGGGGGAGAGATGCTATCCTCAGGCAGCTGTCTCTGGAGGCTTCCTAAGTTACCACTGACTGCATTGGGGTGGCCATTGGCTCTAATGCACAGACAATCCACAGAGAATGTGCCCTGGGGGAACCTGTGTGATGCTGAGCTGTCCAGCAGAGCACTTTGGGAATGCAAATGTGGGCACAAGGCACGAATTGCATTTCAGCGGTGGCAGCTGAGGCTGAAAGTCTACTGAGAAGTCATAAGATAGAGTTAGGAGTAAGACCCAGTGAGAGCCCCAAGAAAGCAGAAGCCGCGGACCCCCCTCTGCATTCTACCCCAAACGCTGTGTAGCCCTCCATGGTCTGCTCCTGCCCTATGGCTTCCTTGTTCACCCTTCCCACCCATCGTTCTGACCTTCCATCTCCCCACACCCCAAGTAACCAAGCACTCTGAGGTGTCATTCCCAGAAGCTGCAGAGTGGGCCCAAGTTCAAGGATAGGGAGGGAGACAAGGTGTTTATGTGATACAGAAGTTTCCTGGTGAGCTGGGGATCACTGGTCTGAATGCCTATGTTCCTGAAGGTCATATGTTGAAGCCTCACCCCCAGGGTGACGATTTTAGGAAGTGGAGGGTCTTTAGGAGGCAAGTAGGTTACGAAGGTGGAGCCTTCCTGAACGAGACTAGCGCTCTTAGAAGTTCCCCTGGACCTCAGCAGATCCGATCCTGCCACATCTTGACCTTGGACCTCCAGCTTCAGAACTGTGGGCTTCATTTCTGTTGTTGATAAACAACCCAGTTTCTAGTACTTTGTGACAGCAGCCTGGCACTGACTATGACAGTACAGTGAACAAGACCATGGTCATACACAGTTACCACCTTGCTCCGTGAAGGGAAGCCCTGCCCCCGTGCAGAAAGAGTGTCGAATGGGCTCTGCACAGTGAGGGATGGGCCAGTGCTCACTGGTGCTCCTGCTGTGACAGCCACAGGGCATGGAGGGGCCATGCTAGCCTGGAGGCTGTGCTGCCTGCCACTGGTCTAGTTTGGACGTGTGAGAGCTCGGTGGTCACAGGTGTCATTCCAATGCACCCCCATCTCCACCCCACACCAGATACACCAAAAGCCACATGGCACTGGGTGAATGGCTTTATTAGATATTTAAAGGATAGAGATCTGGGCTCCTTGTGATCTGAGGCTCTTTGCTGCCTGCAGAGATGACTGTGGGGGAAGGAGGTGGGGACACACATTTGTGACAGTAGCCAAGAAAGTCTGCAGAGGCTGAGGGGTGGGGTGAGGCCCAGAAGTCATTCTTCTTGAGACAGGAGACCACAGCATTTCTTGGTGGAGGCCAAAGAGAAATATTCCCACTTGGCAAAGAGGAGGAGGAGGAGGAGAGAGAGGGTGGGTGAAGAAGGAGACTGGCTAAGAGGTACTGGGAAAGACAGGTTGGAACTGCTGACTTCAGACAAGGGATGGTGCTCATTTGGTAAGAGCCTGGTGAAGCCCAAAATCAGATCTTGCGCTGGCAGCACTCAGGGACACAGCAGCTGGACTGGGAGCAGCAGGGCTTGCAGCAGCTGGACTGGGAGCACACGGGGACACAGCAGCAGGGCTTGCAGCAGCTGGACTGGGAGCAGCAGGGCTTGCAGCAGCTGGACTGGGAGCAGCACACGGGGACACAGCAGCTGGACTGGGAGCAACAGGGCTTGCAGCAGCTGGACTGGGAGCAGCACACGGGGACACAGCAGCTGGACTGGGAGCAGCAGGGCTTGCAGCAGCTGGACTGGGAGCAGCACACGGGAACACAGCAGCTGGACTGGGAGCAGCAGGGCTTGCAACAGCTGGACTGGGAGCACACGGGGACACAGCAGCAGGGCTTGCAGCAGCACACAGGGACACAGCAGCTGGATTGGGAGCAATCACAGGAGCCACAGCCCCCCTTGGAGCCCCCACAGGAGCCACAGCCCCCACAGGAGCCCCCACAGGAGCCACAGCCCCCCTTGGAGCCTCCACAGGAACCACAGCCCCCCTTGGATCCTCCACAGGAGCCACAGCCCCCCTTGGATCCCCCACAGGAACCACAGCCCCCCTTGGATCCCCCACAGGAACCACAGCCCCCCTTGGAGCCCCCACAGGAGCCACAACTGGGGCAGGCACAGGCTGGCACACAGCAGCACACGGGCACACAGCCACTGGAGCCACAGCCCCCACAGGAGCCACAGCCTCCGGAGCAGTCACAGCAGCTCATGGTTCTGTTTGGAGGATGGAGGGGTCCGAGGAGCAGGTGGAGAGAGAGGGAGGGGTGCAGTGTGGAGCCCCCTGAGCCCGGCCCTTTATATCCCTGCCTGGGTCAGGTGCGAGCTGGTCACATGGGTGCTTCCTGGTTCCTGCTTGTGCCATTTTAGGGCCTTTTTCTCTGTTTTCCTCTAGACATCAGCCCCTAGTATACAGTCCAACGGCCTGTAGCTGATTTTCCATTGCCAGTGGGTCCTGTTCTTCTGATGGATTTGTGTCCAGACTGGAGGGAGGTCCCCAAGGACCCCCTAAGGGCCCAGCCCAGTCCTGATACCAGAGTCACATTTGATTTATAGGTACAAAGAGAACGAGAGTAAATACCAAATTAAACATTTTAATAACACCCATCTTATGAGAAAATGACCAAAATAGATGAAGACTCCCACATTCATGTTTTATTTATTTGTAGTTTTGGCGGTACTGGGGTTTGAACTCAGGGCTTTGACATTGCTAGGCAAGTGCTCTATCACTTAAGCCATGCCCCCAGCCTGAACCCTTCTTTATACATCTCTCCAGATTGTGTTTTTGCCCCAACGTAACTAATTCCTGAATTTGGAGCTTGCAAGGATTTACAGTCCTGCTAATCTACACAGTTTGCATGTAACAATCTATGCAGTTGGTATTACCTCTCTCTCGCCTTCTGCAAGTTTCCTTTGAAAAAGGCATGTGAAAGATTTCGTCTCACTCAATTGCAGTAGTTGGAGTTTGGACTTGAACTCAGGGACTTGCACTTGCCAGGCAGGCGCTTTAGCACTGGAGTTGGGCCCCCAGCCCTCTGGCTCATCATTGCTGATCTCTAAATAAAGCACCACCCACTCTGTCACTGCTGAGAGATATTTTGTTTCCTTTGTGTTGCTATTTCAATCAAACTGTAACTCCTTGTCCCAAGGCTCCTGTGGACATGTGATCATTTCCCGCATAGCTTCCCACCAGCCAGCATCAAGTGACACTCCTTGCTTCTCCACGTCCTTACCCAAACTTTGAGTTGTCAACCTGAACGCTTATCTGTGTTTCCCTGTGTGTCAGTCTCACTCTCCAGGCCACTGTGGTGCTGCCTATCTTCCAAAACATGCATTTGTCATTAAGGCCACCCTTGTGATTCCTCTTCATGTCCTTTGACCACGCCACAAAATTGGGCTCTCTGTTATTTTTATTGATTTCTGAAGTTCTTTGAATTTTCTGGACTCTGATCTATTGATTAGAGTGAATTGATGGCAGTATCTTTTTCTAGTGTGTGGCTTTTTCCCCCCCTCACTTTTTCCCCCCTGGTGTACCAAGTTTTAAATTTCAAATGTACTGAAGGGTAGTAATCTTTTTGTTTTCAAAATCTTTGGGGTTTGATCTCAGGGCCTGCACTTGCTAGGCAGCCGCTCTTCCACTTAAGCCATGCCTCTGGCCCTTTTTATTGCTTTAGTTATTTTTCAGGTAATGTTTCATGTTTTTGCCTGGGGCCAGTCTCAGACTGTCATCTTTCTGCCTACAACCTCCCCAGTAGCTAGGGTCACAGGTATGCACCACCACAATTGGCTTATTTGATTGAGATAGGGTTCTCCCTAACTTTTTGTCAGAGCTGGCCTCAAACTGTGATCCTCCCAATCTCTGCCTCCCAAGCTGGAATTATAGGTATGTACCACCATACCTGGTTTCTATTTGTTTCTTATTCAGAAAACCTTTCCCCTCCCCTGAGATCATTAAGATCAACACACATGCACACACCCCACCCGTGTGCTCCCTCACAGATGTGCACAATAAATTTTTGAAAGGTTTTTTCTTTTTGGCAGTACTGGAGTTTGAACTCAGGGCCTCACCCTTGCGAGGCAGGTTCTCTGCTGCTCATTTTTTTTCCAAGTGGATAATAGATCTAGCTGGCATTTTTGGGCTATCCTGTGGTCTGCAGTGCCCCAGCCAACTCACTTGCAGCAACCTGGATGTCCTGGCCCCCCGCCCTCGTATCCCTCTCCATGGGAAGAATCCACTCATCCCATTTCACGTAGAGTCCTTGTCAGGATTTTTATTGTATTTGCACTGAATTTATAGGCTACTTTGGGGGAGAATAGTCATTTGTAAGATTTTTGAGTAGTCTAATCTGGGGATGTCTTGTGTTTCTCAATTTTTAGAGGGTCTTTCATGTCCTTTGGAAAAGTTTGCATGTTTTTCTCCAGGGAGCGCTTGTCTTTGGTAGATTCATTTTTGTGTACTTTTTCTTGGTTCCAGTTGGAAATGGCACCTTTTAAATTAAGTTTTTTCTAACCGTGCCAATTGGTTTTTGTATAGTGATCTTATTCTCAGCAACCTTGACAAGTTCTGTTTTTAAACTCTAAAAATTCATCTGTAGATTTGCTTTGGTTTTCTGTTGACACTTTTATCAGTGAATTTGGAAAGTATTTGTTCCTTTTAAACTTTTATAACTTTTATTTCTTTCGGAGTTACTATACCCATCTGGACAATTTTTCATGGCACAGCGGATAGTCCTGTCTTTGTCCTGGTTTTGGTGGTGCTGGGGTTTGAACTCAAGGTCTTGTGCTGGCTAGGCAGGTGCTCTGCTGCTCGAGCCACTCCACTGGCTCTTATTCCTGACTTTGAATAATACTTCTAACACTTTACCACTCGCTGTAGTGAGTTCATTCTTGGTGAACATTTTATGAAATTGAGGGCGGACTCTGTTGTTCCTGACTTGCCAGTGGAGGTTGGACTTTCCTGAATGGCTTTCTGCAGCCATTGACATGGTTTTCCTGAACCTGGTGAATTTTAGGGTGACTTCTGGGGTTACTATAACACACTCTGAGTATCATTGTTTCATACGTCTCCAGCTGGCTTTGCTGATGTGCCGTTTCGAGCCCAGTTTCATAAATCACACTGCTTTGTGCTTCCTGTCCCTCGCCCCGCTCCTGCTATCTTGGTATCAATGCATGCACTGGCCCCATGTCCCAGGGTGGCCCTGCTGGCCAATGCTTTCTGTGCTGGAAAAGCTTGTGCACGCTGGTCACAGTCCCCAACCTGGTCATGAGGTGGAACTTGCAGGAGGTCAGCTAGGTCTGGCAGGATGCATGGGGCCAGTGAAGTCTTATCCCTTTGTTCAGGTCGCAGGTTCATCCCTGTCCGTTTTCTGTTTCTTCTTAAGATGAGATGTCACTTAATTAAAGTTTGAAATGCATTTACCTTTTCATGGCTGCTTCCTGCTGTTAGCAGCAGCTACATTCCTAGCCACTCGGTTTTCATTCTCACTTCAGTGTATGCACACTGGTTTTGTGTTTCTGTTTTTTGGTTTTTTTCTGGATCAGTTTTGCCAGAGGTTGTTGATTTTCTCCTTCTTTTCAAAGACTAGCGTTTGCTTTTGTTGATTTTATTGTATGTTTTTAAAATTGTTGCATCTATTTCTGCTCTCACCCTTATTTACTTCCTCCCACTCTGTTATTATTATTTTTCCTGTTCTTCCTTTTCTGCTCTCTTACCATGGTTGCTTTGCATATTAACTTCCTGTCTTCCTTTTCCTGGCAGAACTACCTGGGGTTAAGCATTATTTGAAAGTAAGTTGTTGGGTACGGCCCACATTTTGACATGCAGTGTTTTCATTATTTACCTCTGACTGTTTTCTGTTGACTCATGAATTATTTACAGACAACTGAAACTTCCCAAATGGCTGTTGTTGGGGGGAGGGTGATCTTTAGCTACTGATTTCTCCCCAGGGATCGGAGCACACAGCGTGGGTCTTTGCCAGACACCTCGGGAGCAAGCCTGTAGGAGCATTTGGAACCAAGGTCACTGTGGCTCCCAGCCCTGTGTGTTCTCAGGTCTCCATGGAAACAGTGACATCCTTGCTGATTTCTTGCCCCTGTGCTCCAGGGATTTAAAATCTCCTATAACTCTGGCATTTGAGGCTCTCTTAACAGGTGCACATAAATTCAGGATGGTTCTTTCTCCCGGTAAGTGACCTGTAGCATTATTGCCACCTCTGTACTTTTAGCTGGCCAGAAGTCACACTCTTTGTGCTAACTTGCTTCCTCCAGCAAGAATTGGTGCTAAAGGCTGGTGGTGACCCTGTTCACCCACCTCTCCCTCCTTCCTGTGCCTGTGCTCCTCTCTGGAGCACCCTGCAGTGTGTCTTGGTGTCTGATATACTTGTTCCTACCACCCTTTGCATTTAACTATTCTATTCTTTGAGACAGGGTCACTTTGTAGCCCAGGCTGGCCTCCAACTTAATCCTCCTGCCTCTTCCCCCTTCTCTTATAAGGTATTTTGGAATTCTTTTTTTTGGTCTAGTTTTGTTTTTCATTGACTCATTTCTCACCCCCTTGTTTATTTTGCATTGCTTGGGATAGAAGCCAGTTTTGTGTGCTAGCGCTGCACTCTGAGCACCCCCTCACCCTGTCGCCTTTAGTGGCAACCCTTGACATTTCACATACAGTTTTAAACATTATCCTGCACATCTTACAGCATTTCTTCCTGTCCCACCTGACAGCAGGGCAGGGGTCCAGGCTGCTGTCGCCCTGTTCATCCCAGCACCTTGGCTCCCCCCTTGTTTTTCTGCCTCACTGCGGTCTATGCTGTCACTGTTTGTGTGAACTCAGGCTCAAGGTGAGGCCACTCCTCCCTCTTCCTCACACACGCCCTCCCTGGAGGGCTCGGCTTCCTTCCTCTGCTTCACATGCCCTGGAAGCCCCGGGGCTGAGCACCTGCCCGCAGTTCTGCAGGAAGGGGGCTTGGTGTCACCTCACTCCGGAACGATGCTCTGTCTGGGGCCAGTGCTCCGTGTGGACGGCTGTGTCCTCAGTGCTGCACAGGTGTCCTGCTGGGTTTGTGCCTGTTGCTGGGCTCGGTTGACTGCCTCCTCCCTGGAGGTCATGGGCCTTCTGGGTTTGTGCCAAGGATTTGTGTTCTGCACTTTGTGCTTTGTGAAGTGCATATGTATGAAGCTTGTGTGTGTGTGATGTCTCAGAAGGTCATCTGAGGTCAGGTTCATGGAGCTGAGCTGTGTTTTGCTCTCTCCGGTCTCTCGTCTCTATTGGGATAAAGGTCAAGCCTACTGTTCTGTTCCCATACATCTGTTTTTTTTTAAAGAGCTTTATTGAGATAAAATTCAGGTAGCATATACATCAACCATTTAAAGTGCGTGATTTAATGATTTTTAGTATATTCATAGAGTTGTGCAACCACAAATGATTTTATTTACTTTTTCACCATCAATATTAGAACATTTTCTTCAACCCCAAACCTCAGACAGTTCCTCCCATCTCTGAGCCCCAGTCCTAGGCTGCTTCTGTCGCCAGTGGGTGGTC